AAGCAAGGATGAATTTCTTAGTGGGGAAGGGAATGAGAGGAAGTGCAGGGAGAAGTGGATGCTTTATTTTTTCCAAGTGGATATTAATTAATCTAAGAAGATGGATGCTTCAGTGCCTTGGGTAATTGTAGGAGAGTCTTCCATGGATGCCCAAGACAGCTGCGAAATTGCCCATCCTTCAGATCCCTGCACCAGCTCAATATTATTTTCACATTGGTCTTTCTTCTTTGGTTTTCTTCACCCATGACTTGGGGATGGGCTCTTTTGAGTTTCTCACAGCCAGGGTTTTGGATTCAAGGCATCGACTACTTCATTCTGGTTTTGATCTGGCTTGTGCTCTACTGTATGCCACTGTAGTGCCCAGTGCTGCTTCCTCATAGCACCTTTCGCAAGGTCCTGTGCCTGTTTAATGGTGGTCACCTAGGACCGCAGTGCCTGAGCGCCACTTTAAATTTAATTGGGTGCCATTGTATCTCTGGCATCTACCATTGCCCCTTGTACATAGTAGGTGCTCAATAAATATTTGTGAATTAAATAAATGGAGGAAGACACACCAACCAAATTTGTTCCTCTCATTTACTTTTTTCTTTTTTTCCTCTCTCTCTTTTTTAGGAGCTCTGGTAGCATAGTGGCTAAGACACTTGCCTGCTAACCAGACGGCTGGCGGTTCAAACCCACCAGCCACTCCTCGGAAGGAAGGTTGGGCAATCTACTTCCGTAGTGATACTGCCTTGGAAACCCAAGGAGGGGTCGCTATGAGTCAGGGCCGACTCGACGGCACATAACAACAACAACAACAACAACTTTCTTTTTTATCGCCATTTTTTTTTTTTTCTTTTACCTGTTTTTCTTTCCTGTCTACAGTCTAGGTTTTGACTGGACTAGGAGCTATTTAAAGTGATATTGCATGCTTCTGATCATATTCATTTTGTGCTTATTTTTTTAGTTTAATTGCGAGAGCATTCTCTCATTTCTTTTCTTTCCATCTGTCTATGGCAGATGGCCTCTAGGCACACACTCGTAATGTAACTCTCTTGGTCAAGAGATGCAAATTGGGTAGAAAGATCAACACTCAGCTGTTAAGAACCTTTCCTCACCCTTTCTTCTCTGACTTACTAGTTGGTGTTTGACCAGGAATGCTGGTCAAGGAATGGTTTTCTCTCTATTTGAGCTGTGAGAGCAAGCAGCAAAGCTGATTTCCCTGCTTTTGTTTTTCAGTCTCAGTGTGAGAACTTGTCCAGTGTAGAAGAACATCTTTGCCTCTCCCTTCCTTCTGCTCTCTCATATAGAAACCTGAGGGCAGGATTTGGATTTCTGCCATTTTCTGTACCGTAGGAAAAGAGCCTAAAGTTGCATGACCAAACCATAGCCAAGAAAATGTCTGCTGAGGTCCTTCACATCAAATCAGCATTTTTTTCTAAGATTATTTGACACATTAAACTTTAAATGAGCATAGAGGCCCCCTGCTTGTCTCATTTAACATTCTATCCTCAGTATATCTGTATATATTTGGTGCTTAGTAAATAGTTGTGGAATATGATGACTGACTGACTGACTGAATCATTGAATAAATGAGTTTGAGTTGATCCATATGGATGAACAAGGATGACCAGTGGCACTTTCTAGTCCTAACAGCATACCATCCAATAGAATCATTTTAATCTTTGGAAATTACTCTACAATGTCTTTTTTCAATCAAAGTTTTACAGTAAATTTGGAGGAAAAAAAGAAAAACAAAAAAGAAATATTGATAAGCTTGCCATTTAGACACAACAAATTTTTGCTATACTGGTATGATTTCTTACAGATTCTCAGTCTTCATCTTGGTCTCAGTCTCCATTTCTACTCTTTACCTTTTTCTTTAATCAATGTTGGAACTATTTTCTAACCTGCGTATCACATCAATAAGGAACTTTGGTGGTCGGCCCTTCAAATCCACCAGCTGCTCTGCGCGAAGATGAGGCGATCTACTTACGCAAAGGTTTACAGGCTTGGAAACCCAATGGGTGTTGCTACGAGTCAGAATCGACTTGATGGCAGTGGCTTTGTTTTTTTTTTTTTTTAAAATCACATCAGTGAGCTATTCATATTCTACATATATTCTTTTATTTTTTTCTTAATTGATCTCTAGCTCATACTTTGTGTAGTTAACTTGTTATTTAACTTGAATCAAAGATGGATTGACTTCTAATATGAACTCTTTTGAAACACTGCAGCTGCTATTCCTGGGAGAACTCCTCTCTGAACTTCCTTTGATTCTTGGCTCTAAGTTTTTAAGCCAAGTTGGGTGGGTAGCTGGGTGGGAGGCTAATACTTATTGGCTGTGGTAATTTCTGAGGTAAAACCTTTGCTAAACTGAAGTTATAGGAGCTCTGGTAGCATAGTGCCTAAAGACACTTGACTGTTAACCAGAAGGCTGGTGGTTCAAACCCACCAGCCACTCCTCGGAAGGAAGATGAGGCAATCTACTTCCGAAGTGATACTGCCTCGGAAACCCAAGGAGGGGTTGCTATGAGTCGGGTCCGACTCGATGGCACATAACAACAACAACAAATGGAAGTTGGAGATGAAATGAAAGTTCCCTATGAAAATATATATAGGGCAGCATTTTAAGCCCCTGAGTTCACTTAAATTCTTTTTTCCCTTCTGGTTATATGTCATTTCTAAATTCTTCATGATTTCCGAGATTACAGATCTTAGTTCATTTTTAGATATCTTATATGTTACTCACAAAACTGCTTTTGTCATTGGAGTAAGAAATAACTTTTGTGTCTGTCATATCTTTGGAGCAGTTAATGACCATTTAGAGGGTGGAAACATTAGTTTATCAATGTTTCAAGAACATAATGGGTTTGATTTTCGATTATTTCAAATTCCTAAGCCAGTGCCAACAGTACAGTTCTAGGAATTTTATTTTCTGACTGATCTCTGATAGTTAGAGGTGTGAAGTCTTAAGTCTTTTGAACTATCTCATAGTTAATAATAATCAAAGTAAGTAGCGTCTAAGAAGTGTCAGTTTCACCTTCCAGCTGGTATGAGTCGTATTTCTCTGTCACTTATCATAGATTAAAAATACCATTGACACATTTTTTCTAGTCATTAGTTCAGAGATTGTTGTTGTATTTAAGTTTTTATTATCTCTTAATTGGTAGGCTGGAGATTTTGTTTTCTGTTTAGTTTTGCTTTTGAGAGCTGTGAATTATGTTAAACAATACATATAAATGAAGATGTTAGCCAAAAGTTAAAATTAGCCTTTAGGGGAAGGGGGTACCAGAGAGAGTTATGAAACGTTTCATCTATTAATAAAGACTGACTTAGCCTCGGTGGAAATGCATCTCTGCATATCTAGGTTTGGGTCAGACATCATAGCTTCTGTACATTTACATTTCTTTCTTTTTTTTTCTGGTATTGGTTTCCTACTCCTTTGAGAGCTATATTTTACTGTTCTAAAGAATGATAGGGAGCCCTGGTGGCATAGTGCCTAAGGCATTTGACTGCTAACCAGAAGGCTAATGGTTCAAACCCACCACCTACTCCTTGGAAGGAAGACTGGGCAATCTACTTCCATAGAGACAGCACCTTGGAAACCCAAGGAGGGGTCACTGTGGGTTGAATCAACTTGACAGCAGTGAATTTGGTTTTTTGGTTTTGGAAAGAATGATAGCTGTCTTTAAAGATCTGTTTTTCTTGTAATGCTGTGATGTATTTTGTTTTTCAATTTTAGGGTGAAGACATCGTGGTTCTTGAGTCTCTATTCTTGTTTAGGGCCTAGAATGGCACTTCATCAAGTCCTTTGGTGTCTGGAGATAATCTTAAGAAATAGCCTTGTGTAGAGGGAAGAGGACTGGGCCAGGATTCAGAATACCTGGGTTTTGGGCTACCCGTGAGGTTTGAGGCATATCATTTAACCTCTATGAGCCTCTTTTTGTCATCTACAAGATGGGCCTGAAAATAGCTATTTTCTCTGCCTCATAGCACTGTTAGGTAAGGCAGTGAATCAGATAGCTTTTGAAAACAATGCTTCTCAGCGTTTACTGTTCACCTGGTAGTCTTGTTACAATGCAGAATCCCGTCTGGAATGGGTCTGATAGCCTGCATTTCCAATAAGCTCTCGGGTGATGCTGCTGCTTTGAGTCCATATACCACATTTTAGAAGCAAGCTTTAGTCTACAGCAATCCCAGGTATTGCCACATGCAATGTTAGATCCTAAGGAGAGAAGCTGCCGCTCTTAGCACAAAGCTTCCTAACACTAGTATGCAAAGAATGTGGTATATGTGTGGCCAAAATGTGGCTCTCTGGGGCTATGAGGCTAGAGCCTTGTGAGTTACTGTGGTGTATCATGCAAGCACCATCATCTTTCATGCGTGTTATGAAGTGAACACATGTGGAAAACACTGCACAACCTTCACAAATCCCTCAGTAGCTCTGTGAGGTGTGGACACTAAGCTAGGCGATGAGGGGCAGGATGGAGCTGGAAGCTGATAAGCTGATAGGTCTGAGAATGCAGAGGATTTCGTAAGCAAAGTTTGTATTGTCCTTGACTGGCATCCTGATCCCACTGTGCAGCTGCCTGTGAGGGCCCATGTCTTCTGTCGGTCCTCCTATGGGTTCTCCAAGCCTATGGGCAGACACTGTCACCCTCTCCATACGGTCTCTGTGAGTTGGAATTGACTTACTAGCACCTAACAACAACAACAAATTTTTTATTATTTTAAATTTAGTCACTTTTTTTTTTTTTAAGGAAACTTTTTTCTTGTGCTTTTATGAAATGTTAAAAGAATTGATAATATGGTTATATTTTAAAAATAGACTTATTAACTGTGGTATTTCTTTTCATCTGTCCTTCCTCTGAATGTAACTCACAGGGACAAAGGTTTTTGTTTGTTTTGTTCATTCATACATGCCAAGCCTGGTGCATAGCAGGAGTGCACTAGATGGACGTTGAACATTGCATAATTTGATTGCAAATCTCAGTTTTTATTTTCTCTTCACCTTCTAGATGTTTATTCTTTTCAAGAAGAGGAGCCTGTTTTAGATCCTCATTTGGCCAAGCACTTAGCACATTTTGGAATTGACATGCTTCACATGCATGGGGTGAGAATGTCTGCTTCTGTTTCTATTCCAACTTTGTGAGGAGGGAATTATTTGGTCTCTTTGCTATATAAATCCTGTAACACACATCTTCATTTTCTAGAAATTAGATTTTAATGATTACATTTACTCATTGAATATAATTAATGTTTTCTTTTGGTTACTAGCTTATATTTTAATGCTGTAATAGAAATGACATCCTATCAAGTACTGTATGTTTTAGTTGGTGTTTACTTGCTACATTTCTATCTCCACTGATGGAGAGTTGCACAAATTACTCTTTGTATGTATAGTAAAAGGAGTACGTTTGGAGAGATGATGACCTTTAGAATTATCTATGACCAACATCATTTTGGTTAATTTCAGGAAGGGAAGCAAAGCTCCTAAGGGGTGGAAAAAATAAGCCAACCCATTATTGCTGATGGAAAAGCTTTCCCTCATTTCATATTGTGTTTTCAAGCTCCTATTATGATGGTATAATATTGTTCCCTATGAGAAACTATTTGAAATGTGTGTGTTTTGGTTTAGCCCTTTCCTCCCAGCCTGAGTCATCTCCCTTTCCTCATGTTCTTATTCTTTTTTGACTCTTCTTTCTCATTCATAGCCATTGTTTTTGTTTATTTTTTTCTCCTCTTCTTTAAACTTCCTTCTTCCTCCAAGGTATCCCCTAAGCTCCATGTTTTTTTTCCCTCCTATTCCTCTCAAACGGCTTTGCCTTTTTGTTGGATGCGTTGCATTGTATCTTCCCTTGTAAGTATTCTACTTGCTGTTTGTCTTTTGTTTTCCTTCCCTTGCCCTCCTTCTCAGTCTCTTTTAATTAAGTAGTTTTATTTCTCTATTTAATTGGGGAGAACCGGGGCAGAAATATCTGTTGCTATTAGGATTAATTCATGGGACCCGAACAGTGAATGACAATCACATTTAAAATTGTTTTTCTTTAATGACTTTGCCCCAGACAGAGAATGGGCTCCGGGACAATGACATCAAGCCAAGGGTCAGCGAGTGGGAAGTCATCCAGGAGTCGGGGACGAAGCTGAAGCCCATGTATGGCCCTGGGTACACGGGTCTGAAGAACCTGGGCAACAGCTGCTATCTCAGTTCTGTCATGCAGGCCATCTTCAGCATCCCGGAATTTCAGAGGGCGTAAGTTCCTCCCCGCAGCAGGACGAGGTGCACCTCTGCTGCCTCCCCACCTTTAGGTCTCATCTGGTCTATATGAGCTGGGAAACCCGTCTTGGTTGGCTTCAGGTCATTTTGCCGTATCATCTGTGACGTGATTTCTTTTATGATTTATCTTTTTTTCTGAGATACTGATTTGAAACTTTTATTAAATTATCATCGTTTTACATTATGGTAAGAATATATGTAACAAAACATTGGCTGTTTGAACATTTTTGACGTGTATTATTCAGTGACATTATATTCACCATACTCTGCAACCTGTATCTGTTTACACATTTTTTCATCACCTTTAACAGAAACTCAGTGCTTCTTAAGCGATAACTTACCATTTCCCCACCCTCCTGCCATGGTTACCACTTATAAACTTTGGTCTCTATGCATTTGCTTATTCTAGATATTTCACATAAATGGGATCATATAACATTTATCCCCTTTGTGTCTGACTTATATCATTGAGAATAGTATTTTCAAGGATAATCCATGTTGTAAGGAGCTCTGGTAGTGTAGTGGTAAACGCATTTGGCTGTTAACCAGTAAAGGTCAGTGGTTTGAACCTACCAGTGCTCTGCAGAAGAAAGATGGGGCAGTCTGTTTCCATACAGATTCACAGCCTTGGAAACCCTATGGAGGTTGCTATGGGTTGGAATCGACTCAATGGCAGTGGGTTTGGTTTTTTTTTTTTTGGTTTATCCATGTTGTGACATGTATCAGGATTTCATTTCTCTAAGTGGTGGAATAGTATTCCATTACATATATGTACTGTATTTTGTTTATCCATTAATCTGTTGATGGACACTTGGGTTGTGTCCATCTTTTGGCTATTGTAAATTCTGCTGCAATGGACGTTGATGTATCTGTTTGCTTTCCCTGTTTTTAAATCTTTTGGGTATATGTGGCATGATTTCTAACAATGAGTCTGGCTGAGAGCATTTGGACAAATGGTAATGGGATCAGGTTAGATAAGGCAATCTTTGTAAACTGAAAACAGCCTACGTGGGTTTGTGGTATTGATAATGGCTTCATTTTTATTTCATTACTCTATGTGCCAAGATATATTAATCATTAATCCTCAAAGCAGACCTGCCAAATAAGTTTTATTCCTTTATGTACAGGAGCCAGGAGAGATTCAGTGATTTATTTGGTCAATGTCTCCCTGCTGTTAAGTGAAGTTTCTTGGAGGATTTAGGATTTTCATTTTTTGTTATTACTCAATCTGTCTTTCATAGGCTGGTGTTGGTCCATGGGCTATTGTATATAGATCTGCTACAAAATACATATGCACATTGAGAGTGAGCATTTAGAAGGTTTTGTAGAAATTTGACATTGCTGTGTCTTACAAGTGGCATTTCATTTTTCTATTAGTTTATTTTTATTGTTACCTATGTGTCACAGGTTGTTAATGAGTCTATGTACAAGTTCAGCATGAGCACAATTAATGGTATGCAGATGACACAAACTTGCTTTCTGAAAGTAAAAAGGACTTAAAGCATCTACTGATGATCAAAGATTTGGTATGGATTACACCTCAACATAAAGAAAACAACAGTCTTCACAACTGGACCAATAAGCAACATCATGATAAATGGAAAAAAAATTTAAGTTGTCAAGGATTTTATTTTACTTGGATCCACAATCAATACCCATGGAAGCAGCAGTCAAGAAATCAGACCTCATATTGCCCTGGACCCATCTGCTGCAAAAGACCTACTGCAAAAGATTGAAGTTTTCAAGAATTTTGTTTTATTTGGATCCACAATCAACATATATTAAATCACTCAGGAAATCAAATGATGTATTGCGTTGGGCATATCTGTTGTGGAACACCTCTTGAAAGTGTTAAAAGCAGAGATGTCACCTTGAGGACTAAGGTGTGCCTGACCCAAGCCATGGTATTTTCATTTGTCTCATTTGAACATTATTCACTGGACAAGAATTGATGCATTTGAATTGTGGTGTTTGTGAAGAATATTGAAAATACCATGGACTGCCAGAGAACAAAAAAGTCTGTGTTGGAAGAAGTACAGTCAGAATGCTCCTTAGAAATGAAGATGGCAAAACTTTGTCCCCTGTACTTTGAAAATGTTCTCAGGAGGGACCAGTCCCTAGAGAAGGACATCATGCTTGGTAAAGTAGAGGGTCAGTGAAAAAGAGGAAGACCCTCACTCAATAAGATGGGTTGACACAGTGGCTGCAACAATGAGGCTTTAACCTAGCAAGGATTATGAGGATAACACAGGCCTGGGCCATGTTTCGTTCTGTTGTACATAGGTCAGTATGAGTCGGAACTGACTCAGCAGCTCCTAACAACAACAGCAACATGTTTACTGTATTTTTAAAAAGTGTCATCTACATGAGTTGAAATTAAAAAAGAAAACTGGTCCTTCACCACTTGTAATTTGCAGTGCACTGATTCAGAATGCTTCCTGACCGGGCATGTGCAAGGCTTCCTTCTTCTTCCCATACCTTGGGGCAGGGTGGCCGTGTCTGTGGTTTTTCTTCCTTTTGTTGTGGTTAGGACAGTGAGCTGCAGCATTGCAGAGCTGCAGCTGGTGACTCATGGGCAGCTACTGTCTAAGTTTAGAAAATAATCTCTAGTATCTTCCAGAGTGGGTAGGTGTCTACCTTGGTTCAAGTATGGAAGAGGACACATGTGTGCCAAGATAGACTGAAGGGTAGACAACATGCTAGAAATAGCACAGGGCAGTTTGTCCATGTGGAGTCCAACACACATTGAAATCCTAATGGTCTTAATAGTGATTAATAAAAAGTATATCAAATATCCATTTATCCCCCATCTTGGTATCTGAGGACTTGCCACTTTTTGCTGTTTTCTGACTGAAAATTTATGGTCAGTTTTACATGCTTTTCATCCATTTGATGAGGATCGGTTCTTTCCTGCTAAAGAGTGTGCTTGCTGGTGAACAAAGAGAAAGTGGTACTTGTCTCCATGGAACTCAAAGTCCACTTAGGGAAACAGACATAAGTAAATAATCAGAAGAACAACAGAATGGCTGTAAGCATGATAATCCCCAAAGGGAAAAGGTCAGCGAGGAGCTCTTTGAAAAAGGGACACACAAAGGGGCACTTGGTAGATGTGTGGGAGGAGTAGAGTGGAGGGTTTGTAGGTTGAAGAAAGAGAAAAATTTGAAGCTCTTTAAATTTAATGTTAAAGGTGTATATTATGTTATTATTTTTTTTATTGTGATTTGGGTGAAGGTTTCCAGAGCAAATTCACTTTCCATACAGCAGTTCACATATACTTTGTCTCGTGACATTGACCACAGTTTACCACAATGCAACAGCTCCCCTCCCACTTCCTCCCCATAGTTACCTCTTCCCATTTTCCATCCCTCCATACTCT